TTCGAGCTGACTTATTTCTTTTCTGAATTTTAATTTTCCGGATTTTTCTTTCTCGGATTACTTGATATATTCGCGATGTTAAAATAACAGTGCATATTGTTCCATGTGTTGTTATAATACGAATCATATTAATGAATCAATACATCAACACGAAGAGTGCTAGCAACCATAGTTCTCCAGTTTCTTATTATTTTTTGCCATATAGTACAATTAGAATATGTTAAAATCGATTATGCATCATGTAATAAGTGTTATATGTATGTTCAATTTATCTTGGATGAGGATAGATTCCGATGAATTCTTGTTGAGTTTTTGTGATTCTCAAATATAAATTGTGTTTTGCTTTTTTCTCATTTCATGATCAGTATTATATTACATGTTAAAAGGTAACCTTTTAAATTGTCTTGTTGTAATCAATCGTTGCCATTTTTAAAAGATCTTCCTCTTCTTTGTCATAAATGAAATGTATTAGATGTCTACTATAAATGGGTAAAAACCAAGACACACCAATTTCAGGAGTAAATAAAAAGATAAGGACTGTATATAAGAAGATGTGGTTACCATTTAGTTTTTCATGTTCTTTATTTCAAAACAAAGACGACATACTAATACACAATCACAGGTATCGAAGTTATTTCATAAGAGTTAGAGAAGAAGTTTTAAAATATTGAAGATCTGTAAACAAGAAGAAGATTTGATCCATGTTTAAGAGGATCATATAACTTTTATTATTCGATTTTATTTGGATTATGACTGGCAATTATCCTTCATAAAAGTTGTTGAACAATATTCTAGAGACTCTAAGCTCTTTGCTAAATCAAGAATCCATTCATACCTAGATAAACCAATCAAAGCGTAATCAAGTACCACTATCCTCCATAGGCCCAGCAATTAAAATAATAAACGTTTGTGTTTAAGGGTGGACGTGGGTAGATGTGATTACGCATATTTTTGCAACAGCCATACTCACATCTTTGAAACCAACCTGTCCCACATCTACGCCAATACCCTCCATTTACACCCACCTGTACACACGAACACTCACAAGCTCACATCCTGAATTCCTCCCGTTCTCAATCGATTTCACCCATCCTCTCCTTTTGAGAGTGTTATAAGCTGACTGGTCGATGTTTTCGATAAACTATCGGCATGGCTTCCACGCTCTCTCTCTCTACAACGTGGGTGATCGCATTCATTCGTTTCTTCCGAATTCAATATGTGCGTTATTGCTTGTTGTCATGTCCACCGGACATGATATACTGTCTTCCTCTTTCATGCATCCATTTGCGCTCATACTCCTCTCACTTTTCCCTTTTTCCCATACATATACATTCCATTCCATCTTTCATATATTTTGGATGGTTTACACATTTCATCTTGTGCTCTTCTTCGTTCTATATCATATACACATTCTTTCTTCGTTTCATCTTTTATGATATAGCTTACGCATGTTGATATATCCTTATGGTATGCTTCCCTCCTCGTCATTTTGCATTCATATTCGTTTTTTTTCTCTTGTTGTTTTTTCGATTCATATTCATTCGTCTCTTTTTTCTTTCTTAGAATATACACGATGAGATATTCATCACACCTGTGTAATTCGTCTAATCATGATCCACACTTACCGTTTCTACGATTTATATTTCTTTCATTTTTTTATGAGACATAAAATTGAATTCAACTCACAGTTACATATTTTTTTTAGTATAGAATCGCGCTTTTTATGTGAATTTCACCAATGATTATGTAAGTGCAATGTAAATAAATAAATAAATATCTCGTCTATATATATATTTACTTCCTTCTCTCTAAGGCCAGGGATATTCGATTTATTTTAGTGTACTTCACTCGGTTTCTTTTATTCTTTTGATATGTCCTTGGTAATTGATAACCAAAGAGAAGAGAAAGGACTTAGAATATACCAATGATATCTTCTCTCGATCTGCCAGTTAACTAAACTGCAATGTGTATAAGGTCGTTTTTTTCGTACTCTCGTTTTACTTTGAATATAGATTTTATTTCACTGAAGTCTCTTTTCGTAGTATTTTTTTGTCTACTTTTTTCACTGTATTACTATTTCGTGTAGGATCTATTATAAATATGTCTGAGGAGTGAGTGGTAGGTTACTATTTCTATGACTCTTAACCACAGTACATTTATCTTTTTTTTATTGAAAATGACTATTTGTCAATAGTTTGCCACGCATACTCGATTGTTATTTGAATCTTGCAACTAGATTTCAGTAATTGACATTTCATTTCATGAAGATTTTGCATTTTCATAAATTGAAAATGAGTCAATAAACTTTAGAGTGTGGGTGTGGTTGTAGTATTTGATTAATAAATCATAAACACTTACATCTACCCTCATATCTGTTAAGGATCAAGCTAGGAGACATTAATGATTTTCTCTACAGTATAGACATCATTTAATTAAATTTCTTCAAAAGGCTTTTTTGTCGATGAGAGTTCCACTATAAACTTTGTGTGAATGAAAATATACAGTACAAGCATCGAACTAGTTTCATTTTATTTCTATATACGTGTACAGTATTCTTCTACTCTCAGTTTTTTTTTGTATTCTTTTAGATTAAAGAATTCTAGATTTTATTACTACTATTTTGACTATTTTCGTGATGTCAGTCATCAATGATATGCATATGGTAACATCTAATGATACAGTTCGAACAGACCAACCAAAGGATCATGATATGATACCTCCACCACCAAGTTATGCTCAAACTATTACTGAGACAGCATCAACTCCTTATCAAAATGATAAGAAGACACAAATATCATATACTGAGAACGTAATGGATGGTCCTTCTCCAATAGTAGTAAATCCAGTGACTATACCGGACTATCTCTGCTGGTCGATTTTCAGTACATTATGCTGTCTGTGGCCAGTTGGTCTTATTGCAATAATTATGTCCGTCATAGTAAACAGAAGGCTAAGAAAAGGTGATATTAAAGGAGCACGAACTGCTGCAACATGGTCTATAATAATGAATGCACTGGCCACTATCGGTGGTATTATTATCATTATTATTATAATTCTACATCGATCTCGTTCGATAAACCATGGATACTGACAATATTTTTTTAACATTATATATTCTATTATAGAGTTCTCCTTCTCTCTTATGCTTTAAGTATACAAACTTTTTCTTCGCGCATAAAAGATACTAATAAATACAGTTGCCTGATTATCTAAAAAGTAACAAAACGGTATGAAAGTTGACTGTTTTTTCTGATTTTGTGAAACATGAATATCATATAGCAATTCACCTACCTATATGTTGAAGAAATTAAACATAGTGATAAAGTGTTCGGTTACTATTTAAATGTTCTTTTCATTATTATTCTGTCTTCATTATTTTTGAAAAATATTATTCTTACACAGAGTAAAAAATATATTTCATAAAACTATCAAATATGTAAATAATTTAGTTACTCTAATAAAAAGAAGTTTATTTCTTGCTTAATATACTTAATATTTTTAGCTTTCTTTTGGACTTTACAGTTACAGAAAAATAAAGAATAGTTCTTTATATTTATATTTACAAACAAAATAGTTCAATAAATCCAGTTATATATTATTGAGGAGATGATGTTATTATGTATGAAACACGATCTAATATTTGACACTAATAATATGAGAGAATAATTTATGAAAAAATGAGGTACGATTTTATTTTTGTAATTGTGTAAAGTATCCTAGAAATTATAAATATTAAAAAATGAATGAAATGATAATGTTTATAACCAAAATCTAAAAAAGATAATAAATGATGGAAAAAGTAAAAAAATATAACATATTTGTTGAAGTAGTATATTAACAATAGAGAGTCTGCTAAACAAATGTGTGAATATACATACATATGACCCTTTTAAATTTTGATAGATCTAAAGCTTTGGACTTTCGATGCTATTTGTGTACAAACAACATCAACTGTTCTTCTAATGAAAAGGCCCATCAGCAACACAAAGCTTTATTTGATTTGAATCAGCTTATCAGACTCTACAAACTATAGTATATATCTCCTGTGCAAAATGGTGAATCATACTTGGAAGACTTTCCTTCGTCAATACCTATGAACACATTACTCACACTCGCTCGTTTATTAATTACAATGAATTCCATAAAGAATAGAATATTTTAATTTATCATTAACAGTTAGAACAACATGATCAAACATTAGTTATACAAATTATTCAACGTCTTTTAACAACAATCAATTAATGGAATAAATTTAAATGAATGTGAAACAATGCAAACACAATCATCAAATGCATTTCGTCATTTATGTAAAAAATCTTCCGATCAAAATAGTTGATTATTATACAGAATTATATCCATTTCTTTGTCAATAAAAAAAATGAATCTCAATTAATAATGGATCAATTATCATGTCTAACATTAAAATTACTTGGTGCTATACAAATGTTATTTGATCATAAAATATTAAAAGATAATAATCAATTTGAAGATTTTTATGAACTTATTAAAGCTATTTATGAAGTATTAAATATATCATTAACAACTGAAACATAGCCTAAACTTATTGAATATCTTGATTTATGTTCAAACCCAATAAATAATATGGATTTAATATGTTATCGACGGAGAAATTTAATGCTTGTATGACATTGTTTATGTTTAATATTACGTTATTCAAAACAACTAGCAAATACGAATTTAAGTTCAAAAATTTCTATTTGTCTTCGACGAATTTTATCTGATTATATTATAAAAGTAACACAATTTTGTAATCAACTATATGCTAGACAAATAAATCCTTTTTATGATATATTTAAAACAAATTTAACATATAGCGAGATAAGAAGACAACTGTAGTTAGGTACATATGAAAGTAATAATATGGCAAAAAAAACAATTACATCAACTATTACACCATCCAATCTTCCTATATAGGTATTATTCGTTTTCAATCAACATCGAATACTATAATAGATGACGACTAACAAAAACTTTTTAAATGCTTATTGGCAAATAACAATTAATACAATAAATCTATTGATGAAATAAAACAAATCAGTTTAGTCCTTTATCATCGAGATAGAAATTCACCACTTCTTAAAATAATAATTACGTTAGTTGAAACAAATTTAAAATATTTCTCTAATTCAACATAAATAAATGGAGTATTTTAAGCTTAACAACTTTACTTAGATGATCTTCGAAATAAACAACTTAATATTGAAGAAAATAATCCTATTTTAATATACAGTTTCAATTAAAACAATTTAATGTTACATATGGAAATACTTTTTATCAAAATGGATACATTGGTCATGATCTTGATCCAGATGATTTCGAATATATATCATTTAAACGTTTTCGTTATGGAAAATTTATTTTTCAGCTATTAAACAAATAATTATTGTCGAAAAATTTCTTCAGTTATATTGAAATAAGTTCATCATATACTCATTAAAAATAACAATAGATAAAAAAATAATAAATGAATATCTGCTTAACATGAATGTTATACTTATGTGCGGGGACGCACATCTATTACGAAGGAAAGAAGTGTTAGCGATGAATCACCACCATCGTTTATACATATCGTTCTTTCCCTTTCTCTTTCTACTATCTCTTGTTATTGTTTCTCTTCTCTGTGATATCAACATCTATATATGTGCGTGTGTATGTGTAATTTTTCTATTTCAAAATAAATAAACGTACACGCCTGTGGAAACAAGCTAACAATTTCATTTCTGCATACGTGTACAATATTCTCCTATCCTCATTTTTTTCTGTATTATTTCAGATTAAAGAATTCTTATTTCTATTACAACAGTTGTGACTATTTTCGTTATGTCAGCCATCAATGATATGCATATGGCAACATCTAATGATACAGTTCGAACAGAGCAACCAAAGGATCATGTTATGACACCTCCACCACCAAGTTATGCTCAAACTATTACTCAGGCAATACCAACTCCTTATCAAAATGAAAAGGGGACACAAATATCATATACTGAGAACGTAATGGATGGTCCTTCTCCGATAGTAGTAAAGCCAGTAAAGATACAGGACTATCTCTGGTGGTCGGTTTTCAATTTATGTTGCTGCCTGGGTCTATTTGGTCTTATTGCAATAATTATGTCCGTCATAGTAAACAGAAAGTTAAGCAAAGGTGATATTCATGGGGCACGAATGGCTTCATCACGGGCTAAAATAGTGAATGCAGTGGCTACTATCGGTGGTATTATTATCATTACTATTTACGTCTTCATCTGTCTAAATGTATACCTTAGATAATGATATTTTTTTAATATTATATAATCTATTATAGAGTTCTCTTTCTCTTGTATTCTTTTAACCCTTTGATTATAGGGTTTTTATTTTGAATAAAAAGGTTTTTTCTCTTATGAAAAATGATGAAATAAACTTTATTGTTATATTAAGCACTTTCAGATATATATATATGATCTGTAATCAAATGGTTAACTATACAAATTTTCTCTTTGCCTATAAACGATGCTAATAAATACGGTTGCCTGATTATCTAAAAAGTAACAAAATAGTATGAAATTTTAATGTTTTTTCTGATTTTATGAAACATGAATGTCATATATCAATTCACCTACCTACATGTTGAAGAACTAAAAATACTGATAAAGTTACATCTAGTTTT